CTTGGAGTTGAATTTAAAACTTAAGTGGAAAATGTTGTTTTCAGTTTTTATGTTTTCGATAAAGATGTCTTTTGACAAATGATAATTTTATCACAACATTTGGTAGGTAAATGCAACATGCACAATTAATTTCTTCTGTTTTAGTTTTTTCTGGTTTGTTTCTCTTCCTCTACTCACGATGTTATTTTCACACACGCCTATTTATTCCTGGTACTTTTGACCAGTCTTGTTTCGAAAACGTTCTTAATGTTATTGAGATGTGTACGATAAGTCGCCTTTTGTCCACGTCGTGTCGTTTTTCTAAGTAAAGAAGTAAGTTCCTTTTCATATAACTAAAGCATCGAAGCACCCTTTTCTGTCCTTGTCCCTGTATCATCTTGCACACAACAATGCTCTCTCGTATTACACTGTTACTTATCAAGGTTCTTATTTCTTCAGCAATCGCCCTGGTTGCATGGTCTTCTGCTACACCCACCATTCATTGTCACACATCAGTGTTATTATCACCAAGCCCCGAATAAACTGTCAGTATTCCTTGTAAAATAAAAACATTTGACTCTTGGTTATCCAATATAAAAGATGTAAATAAAAAGGCAAAAGTGCTTAAATCTCATAAAGTGGATAATTTTATAAAGGGGCTAATTTTATCTCAACTCAATACTCGCCTTGAATAATAAAAATTGTGTAGAATTTTAAAAGAAAATAAAATGGGAAGAAAACACAAGTTTGAAGAAAGGTTCTAAAGATCTGGCGTAATCTGGAGCGAGGAAATGGAGTGTGCGAGTGTAATGGCGATGCTGCCGTCCTGCTCTGACAGGCTTAATTACCCGCCGACAGTTTACAAGAGAGAGCTGAAATTGCGACTAACGTAGGGCCAGGACCACGGCGGCAGAAGAGATAAATAAAATTAAACTTACAAATGCTAGCCTGCTGTTTCTCATGACTAACATCAACAAACGCCTGTTTAAAACACAATATTCATATTCTTATCGAAGAGATTGCGACAATAATATATTAGGAAACTCGGTCAAACATTCGTTTTTGTGACGTGATATGCCGATCCCTATCTAATCAATGAATAGAGGCCCTGACAGGAGACGTCAAAATAAGGTAGTATTATTGGTTGTTTATACATTTCCTTTGCTTTGGTGGAAAATAGACATACATAAATACATTTTTTTTAATAAAAGAAAAGAAGAAAAAATTTCATTTCCAATGCATAACACGAAAACTTAAGAACTCGTTATATTAACGTGATTTAAGCGACAAGGAATTTGGAATGAAATGCTAAGTTACAATTTATTGAAGAAACTTAAATATTACATAAAATTCTGAGCGAGTTGTAACAATCCGCTACCAGAGTTGCTAAATCGCTACATCTCATGAAACCGCGTATCTCATGGCGCCAAACCGAGGCTCTTTACCCACTTAGAGTGAGTTACTCAAATGACGTTTACAGTTAACTGTTCGCGTCTGTACCGTCAATCTTCACTATGAGACGCCCGTATTGAAACTATATTTTAAGAGTTTACTATTCAGGTTTGAACTCTAGCCTCGCCGGGGAAGTTTCAAAAATTAAAGTTTTCTGATGATGTATGATGAGCGGTGCCGATGCTCCTCGATTGATAGGACTATGGTTCGAGTCCTTGTAGCGACGTCCTTGGTCGAGTGGCTTGCACACCGGAGTTCATGATGATCCCCGACCACGGGTCAATGTAGAAAAACTAACTTTTATCGGGTCTGAGTGTTTGTGGTAGCGTCGTTGTATCCGATTACCACAACACAAGTGCTTTGGTTACTTACTTCGGGATCGGAGTGACTTAGTGATATCGTTTACTGTTCATTTGTGACGGTATATATGTATCTCCAAATTACGTACGTTTGTACGTTTTTTTATTACAAAACTAAGGGACGGGACGAGCGAGTTCTTGGAAAAGTCTCTTGGAAAACGTGCGCCATGCGATGTGATGTATAATGGATTCAGGATGATGTGAAAAAGTTGTACATACATTGTTGTCCTCACTTACTTTACATACTTTTTATATCTCTAACGTCATAATTTATATAGGAATTTTCTTCTGTTACGACGATAATCTAATTTTAGAAACATATCCAGGATGTTATAAGATTGGGAAATCACAGAGAGACATTTATGACATAGAATTACGTGACAAGGGTTGCACTTGAGGGTCATATTTCTTCGGTAATATATGATTGGTACTAAATTATCCATGAGTAATTTTAAAAAATTCAATAAAAAAATTCACTACATACTCGCACAATCGTCTATCCTAAAAAAAGATTTCTTTGTACAGAAATCTTCTTCTTAATTGGTTCATGATCAACATCCTACTGGTGGGCACGGTAGATATGGTTTTAGGTAGTCGACCATGTACACTCAATGTCGGACCCTTGGTACTTGGTACTTGGAGCAACGGGCTGGTGTCCGCAACTCGACGACAAAGCGCCTATATTGTCGGACTCGCGTGTGTTTCAATAATTCATTTCGGCCCTGTATTACTCATTGCTGGATATAGGCGTGCATCACTCCTGCCAACATTTCCGGTATCCTTACGTAATAAGGTGTCATGTCCAACTCCACTTACGGTCTTTAACACGATGCCCTAGGGCGACGTCTCGAACTTTCGTCAAACGTCGGATTTCCGTGTTTCGAATTTTATCGGACAGTGAGTATCTTCGTCATCGAAGGACGACTTCCAGCATCCTGAATACTATTCATTCAGTTGGTTGGTTGCTACAATCACTATGTTTTTATTTAAAAAATTTGCGCAGTATTTGGAAAATCCTCATGGTGCAGGCCCCCGGTGGAAACCAATCCCGGGGCCTCATAAATAATGTTGGTAGATGCTAACTTGACAACCCCCCACTAAATCGTGTTAGGTTTCAGACGTTGACACTGCTAACAAATCACTTCTTACTTGTTAGACTAGCTATTAGAGACTGCAGCCCGCCGGTCTAGACTTATCTTTATCTAGATCAAATTCCACTCAGACTTTGAGAACATTATCTAAGAGAGTACACTCGTCTAGTCGACATAGATTCGTTAAAATGTTCAAAACAGACAAATATTGTTTCACTTTGTTAACGAAAAAGGTTTTTTGTGGAGAACTTGCTTATGAAATAAGTATACTGCAGAATCAAAGGATATTGCTCTGTGGTCCATAATTCTGGCCAAAAGCGGTTTGGAATCTTCACCAGGTTTCCATTCCATGATATTTTCCTTCATTATCCACAGCCTGACTCCACTCATCACGAGCTTCTCTAGTCTTACTTATCTACTGTCCGCGACTTTGACGTCGTATACCCATCTTACTGCAGAATTTCGGTTTCTGTAACCGATTCTTGGCCACCATTTTGTTTGTCTATCCAGTACAATTTTGGCTTCGTTATTTGGTCTCGTTATGCAGTCTATGTTTTGCTTAACGTGTGTAAATTAGAAATAACTTATTAAAATGAAAATACTGAACATCTTACACAACTTTATTAAACGAAAACTCAAACTCAAATAATCATATTTTCATTGGTAAGTCAAACGCAGTCGTCGTTGAAATCGTCACATTAAACCCTACTACAATGCATATTCCCCTGAGAAGAATGAGCTAGAAACTCTATGGTGTGCTCTTTGTAAATAAATATTTGTACACATTTATCATTAACTAACTTCAAAAAATGGGAGACTTCAATTCGTTACGCGATAACTCCGGGTTATTATAATTTGTGAAACGATTTTGATAATCTTTTTGTTGGAAAGAGTACCTTGGTAGTGGTTCTATTTAAATTTGAAGAAAATATACCACGTCTCAGGGTGGCAAACCAGAGGATGAATCCAGTTTCAGTTTCAGAATTTATTTCAAATATCTTTAGATCGAGACAACCTGCAAGAGCTTTATTCTTACTGTCCAGTACTTAACGATAGGTATGAATTGATTTTTAATCCACTTTTCTATATCCTTACTTTTTTACGCACTCAAAAACAAGTGAAAATCTAGCGGAGAATGTCCGGCGATTAAATTATCCAATTACAAATCTGACCGACTGGGCTGACCTCAACACATTACCCTGGTTTAGTGTAATTACACTTTCAGCATTTTAGCACTTTAGCGCTTGCAGCCGCTGAAACCGCTTAATGGCTTAATGCTAAGAGATAAACCTATTTCAATGAACGATAAAATGGCCTTAAAGGGAAGTGTCAATAGATAATGAAAAACAAACGTTGTTATGTGTTATTTTAATATGTACTTTAACATTTTATGTTAGGGTGTATTTCGTGTTTTAATTTATTAGTTCACAACCGAAATATCCTAAAAGCTAGTCCAAACTGTCCACACAATGATGGCTTAATTTAAATTTAGACCTTTTGACCTCTCAGACCGTCCAACTATAGTTATTTAGTAGCAGCTGCATTATCGTGATAAATATAGATAGAACGACGTTGGTATTTTTAGAATATCGTCTAGAACTACACTCACAAAATAATGGGCTTGGTTTATTTCTGTACCAGTGCTTCATGCTGTACATTTTAAGCTTGCCATTGTCATATAAAAATACATTTATTACACATAGATTGTAGTTTACTTTAGTAGTCACGTAGACAAGTTTTAAAATAAGGTTTGGTCTATGGTAGCACTGCCACAATGTATCTAATGCATTAAAGAATTTCGGTTTTACATGATAAATGTGCTAGTGAAACTATATGCACATGGGACTTGTCCTCGTGAATGAAAGCTCTGAATGGCAATGTTATGAGCAGGCGTGACGTTTACCACCAGGCGCACGACTTGTTCGTCCCCTCAATTCATAATTTCCTTCACTTCGAATTTACTGCCTCAGTTGCCGAACGGTTATCATGCTGGACTGCCACGCAGAGGTCGCGGGTTCGTTTCCCGGACCGGGAGAAATATTTGTATGGCCTACATTTATTTCTCTCGTAAGTTTGGGTGTAATTTGTATCACCTATGTGTGTGTCCATGGCACTCGCGATACAGTTTCCCTAGTGCAAGTATAAATAAAATAAATAACGCACACACTCATGAGGCTATGTGTGTGTGTATTTATTTTATTTATTTATTACAATCAATATGAAAACAATGCCTATAGTACTGTTCGTGCAATCATGTTTCGTTGATTTCTTCCACCCTCTCTTGCTCTTCAAGACAGCAAATTTATCTTACTCCTTTCCTGCATTTACAGTCAGTGGGTATATACTTGAATATTCCCCTGACTATCAGTGAGAACATTGACCACCACTTGTATGGATGCCGTTCCCTCTCCTAAACCACTGATCAGGTCAGTAGGTAACTCAAGTCCTGTAGTGACAGCGGACACTAAAGTCGGAAGGTTTCGCTTCATGGAGGCCGGAGCTGATGCTGCGCAGGCGATGAGCACCATAAGGATACCGACCGTAACGCTGCAGCCGCTCCTGAAATTCAGATATTGTCATTTTGTATTTATTTATTTTTGAAGTCATTTTAAATATAATGTTAACCACACATTTTAAGAATGGGCGGGAAAGTTTTAAGTTATAATTCATGAAAAGCATCCTTAGCATAAACTGGTGAATTTGTAAAGAAGAAATACCACATGCATTTCATCACGATAATGTCATAGATATAAGGGGTTTCCACCAATGGACTAAATTCTTGATGAAGTCATACAAGTCAAGGCGGCTTCTCACGGCCCGTGGCCCGTGTCGCGGCCCGCGCCACGCGTTTCTTGCAAACGCGCCGTGGAAAGAGGGGTGGAAACGCGCTATCAGAGAACTAAAGTGACCGACATATCTCGCAAAATCAGTAAACTGTAAGTAGCAGTGAGCAGGACAATATATATACAGGAGGGTTGATGGCCGATGGAGTAGACTTGTTTTAGAGTAGCGACCTGAGAAAGGCGACCGGGCAGCGGCTGGATTTGCATTAATACATAACTGGTTGATGACTGTACCACCTCAGTCAACCGTGACTATGGGACCTGTAAAGGGCGCGAAACGTTGGTTTGTTTGAAAAAAAAAACAAATAAACGCGATTTATACGGGCTAATCAAATATTAAAAAAAACTGCCTTGATCCTTAGACACTTCTGGTGTGTGTATTTTTCATTTATACTTTACTACCGTACTGATCTTTATGCCCAACCAGTGATTTATTAAAAAAGAAAAGGGAATGCTTCGATGTTAAGGTGGAATGGGTATATTCTATAAAAGTCCATTATTAGGTTACATAATGATACAAATTTTTATTGCTAACGTAGAGGGATATGTGGGAAAAGGTTGACCAGCTCAACCAGGCCAGGTCAAAGTACGAAGAATAAAATAGTCTCATGCGAGTATGAGCTAACGCAAACCGGCGAACGAGAAGGCAGAGGAGATGAAATTTATCACAGTATAATTTATGCTATTGAAATTGAAATAAGGTACATATTTCAATGCTCTGAGTCGCAGAGAGAAATGCTCTGCGTTACACCGGGGTGGGTCCCGGAGCATTGAAATGTATACCTTATTTCAATAGAAATAACCTAAAATATACCTTGATAAGGTTAATGTCTGCCTTTAAGTCAGGCGGCTTGCAAGGTGAACGCAGTTCCATAGTCTCTGCCTACCCTAGTGGGAGACCGGCTCCATGGTAATTTAAATAAGGAAACTCGAGATCCAACTTGGAACAGGTTTACGTATAATTAAGTAGAATTAATTAACTACGAGCTTTCCAGCAGGGTCTTAATGGTGGTGTATTTATTCGAGACAAGGAATTAGCAAGGTTTTTAAGTAACTTATGTAGTCGATGTAAATTAAAAAGTGTTTATTTAATGGCTAGTAAAAAACTTATTAATTTGAAAGTGATTTCAACCACAATTAGATAATCTAACGTTTATAACAACTTATCTCTCCTATATCTTCAAAATCTTTTAAGAAAATTTACGAAACGACAGCGAAATATCACAATATGAAATTCATAACTACGCATTTTACATGCTCTTAAGTGTAAAGCCGTCGATAGCAAGTTTTATGCCACATTTTATGCCATTGAGTGTATTATCCCGGCGGCCATCTTGAGTTTCGGGGGATCTGGCCCGGGGCGGTGGATTTCACACACCTTTTATAAAGGAGCGATTTATGGCGAATTTTATTGAGGAATTTACGTACATTTGGTTTTTTAGAAACATTTTCAAAGGTCTCGGAAGTTGTTAAAATATCTACAAGTTACAGAATTTGGTGAGCGTAATTTTTTTCGTGCCAAACTCATTTAGATTTGTTAATAACATCACATCCATGTTTCTTCCTTATTGTTTTATCAATAAAATACAGTTCTTGCCTAGCAGAATAGAAACATTTATTTTATTTAAATAAAAGATATGATAGAAATGCAAAAAAACTTACATGGCTGGCTCAGGTGGAAATATTACAAATTCCCAAGACACATCCACAGAGGCCGCACTAGATCTGGCATCGTATCAACTCCAGTTAAACCTAAAATCGATAAAATTTATCTTAATATAATCTCGATACTACAAACTGGGTCACACTGAAATTGAGTTTTAAAGTTACGAGACACGGTTCATTATCCAACTGTCGACGAAGTTGATATCGAACACACATTCCAATAAATGTGATATAGGATTCTGAAATGCGATGTTTCCACTTCAATACTCTGATAATGCGGTTAGACACAAGTTTGCTACAACTTTTGGAAGGTGTAGGCTGACAGTAATGAAGAATGATTAAATTAACATTAATTATGCAAAAGAAATGTTAAACAACATTAGCATCATGTTTAGGAAAAAGAAAATCATACATTTTTCGGGTTCGCTGTTTATTCATGAAACCAAATGTTGGAAAACTTATTCGATTATGATTTGACTACAGTTCCATTATCAATAAGGAATGATGATCCTGTGATGCTTCTAGCTTTGTCACTCGCCAAGAACAGCACCAGCTCGGCAACCTCTTCAGCGTCTGCTATTTTACCCAACGCTGTCGATTTCTTCATTGCTAGCCATAATTTAGCTTCATCATCTTCTGCCATACCAGTATTCTTGACTATGTCCGTGTGGACTGGACCAGGGTTGACGACATTAACCCGGACGCCATTCCTTGCAAGTTCCCCTGCTATAGTACTAGTAAAATGATTAACTGCGGCCTTGGAGACGTTGTAAGCGAAACCTGTACCAATATAAGGTCGGACGCCGGATACACTGGAGATGTTAATAATGTTGCCTTTAGTTTTGATCAAATGCGGAGCGCAAAGATTTGTGATACCCACTAAGGCACGAATGTTCACAGACATTAAAGAGTCATACATTTTCAAAGCATTAGGTGCGAGAATACTAGCAAAGCCTGCAATCCCCGCGTTATTCACCAATATGTCCAATTGTCCATATTTGGTTAAAGTAACATCCACAATTCTCTTCACGTTATCGTCGTCGGTTACGTCACCAATTAACGGCAAATGTTCCTTGCCGAGCTCTTCACATTTGGCAGACACATTTTTAAGTTTGCTCACATTCCGTCCAACAATTGCCACTTTAGCTCCTTCAGAAATGAATTTCAGCGCAATGGCAGCACCAATTCCCGAACTAGCACCAGTTATAAGAGCCACTCTACCCAATAAACTCATTGTGAAGATCACTTAGCACAAATGGAACTGAATTGTAAAAAACACAATTTATTTTGACATGATAGTTACTAATAAAATGATTACTTATCTTTAAGATAAGAAGGCCGTGTGTGTATCAACCATGTATTAACCCGAGCGTGTCACAACGAATACAATAAATTTTATCGTTGAACCAACAACACTATTCACATGACCGTCAAACAGAATGTAAATAAATACACATTCATGAGCACTAGGATCATTATTTTACGTATATAAAATGCACACAGCTTTAGTATTTATTTACACTGTTATATTGCCACCAATAACGTTCATAGGATTTTAGTACTTATATAAACAAGTCTAGAAAAGAAATTGGCAAGCTATAATCTTAGATTATCTAAACCTGTCCATGTCTACGACACAGAGAGAGACAGAGAGAGAGAGAGAGAAAGCGAGCGAGTGAAATCGGGAATATCATATCAATTTTTTCGAGATCGTAACAACTGTCTGAAAATTGTAATTAAAATAAAAGAATTAGAAAAAATAAAAGATTATTTAAGCTAAACTGACATCATTTCTTGTGTGTGAGTTTGAATGGAATTAACCAAGACCAGATAAAAAAGGAAACATGAATTTTGGTAATCTGTAATTTAGTCTGCACCCAGTAATCAAAGACAGAAACTAAATTACTTTCCTTTTATTTTTTGTTTTTAAGGATTATAAAAGTACCAAACGCTTAATATTGTTCACAAATGAATGGTTCGGGCATCGGTTCAATTTCTGTTTATTAAAAAGGCAAGTGATATATGAAGGCCCAAATGCCTATAAAGGCCTCTAAAAATTCTAATCCACGTATCGATCCGAACCCGACTTGGCAAGCCTGAACAAACCCAAATGTATTTGTTAGCATTCGATAACACACTGTTATAATAAATGGGGTGCTTTAGACTGTGTGAAGTTGACACCAGGTTGAAAAAGACACTTTGGCTTCTTATTCCATTATTCTCTAAGACGTCATTAGTGTAATCAATTTCATGTACTTTGAAAATAGTATTTCACATACCTACTGAGCCCCACCATCAGATATACAATGTACACAAACCCAATATCTCCAAATGATTTGGAGGTTAGCGCCAAAATTTTTTTTATTGGGAAATGTTTTCTACTTTTTTTACGTCTATCGATATTGATTTTATTCCTATTCCATCTTAAATTTCGTTGTTACGTATCTGGACTCTGTGATCTAAAAACATAAACAAAGTTCAGTTTAAGGACGACGTTAAGCGATAATTTGACCGACGGTTGCACTCGTTTAACCAAAAAATGCCTAGTCATATAATGCCTTGAATAGCCCCAAATTGTAGTTTCGGGAAACACAGGTATTAGTATAATATATAGTCGTTGAGGGACGAGGTAGCAAAGCGCTTCGGACATATGGGAGGTATATTAACGTCATGAATAGAGTGTTCAGGACTACTCGACCGGTGATGCTGGAACTAAATTGTGGAGTTCCTCCACACACCCCACACTTTTCGAAACGTATCCGATAGAAAATGGACAAGCAGTCAACTTTACTGCGATGGTGGAAATTTTGAAGCTTCGATTCCACAAGAAAGTCGTTGCCAATAAACCTCTTTGCTTTTCACTCCGTTGACTCCACGACAGCTAACTGGTATGAGGCACAGCTACCACAGGTGGTAGCGGTACTAAAATTGTTCTAACGTCATGCACCGTCTGATTCTGGCAAGGATGTCTAGAATTTCGGCTGTTGTTTTTGCCGAGCACTCCATGTAGCGACCAAAGTTGACTTGTTGTGGTCAGTACTTTTTCTAAGGAATTGTGTCACTGTAAAAGTGTTAATTCCAGGCATTGTTAATAGTAGACCTTTTAAACCTTCGCGTTGCACAATACTAACATTGTTAACGTGGACTCCAGTCAGTCCGTCGGGAAAATTAACAGCTGTGCAAATAAGTACTTGTAAAACCAATTTTCTCACGTTTATAGAAACATGCCGTTCTACATAGTATAATAAGATTTTTTTTTTGTGAGAATCATGTATATAATAATCTCAGTACAGAGTACTAAAAAAACCGACCTCAAAAGTACATGGAATTACGTTTATTTGCTAAGTTTTATTGAAATATTTCCTAGTTCGCCACTATACAGGACTTGTCCCTGGAGGTAATAAAAATAGGTTCTCACTACGACACTACTCAAAGTATATTGATAGAAAAACCCCTTGAATTGGAGAAATAGCAAAATCAACCATTAAAGTAATTGCTCCTAAATTAAATTAGGCGCTATTTATAAAAATGAATCTTCATGCGTGAACAGCCACCCTTCCAGGTGAATGAATTTCTTCAAAATGAAATGGGACCACTATGGAAGTACCCCCTTTCCAACAAAAAAAGAATCATGAAAATCGGTTCACAAATACCGGAGTTATCGCGTAACATACATACAAAAAAAAGAAAAAAAGAACATACAGTCGAATTGAAAACCTCCTCCTTTTTTGAAGTCGATTAAAAATTTAAATCAAATTGAAATGGGCAAATTACACTTGAAATTGTTGCATTGATTAAATATTATTACTCATTCGTAAGGTAAATTCCCCTGAGAATAATAAGTACTATGATACAGAGATAATGATACATAGCTAGAAACTACATGAAAGAGCTAAATAGATCACAGAAACTGTATAATAAACAACCTTTTGTCATTGATGTTTTTTTATATTTTTTTTATTTTTGATAAGTTCTGTGTCTCGTAAATGGCAATTATTGAATATCAACAAAAATATTATTATAGACGAGTATACATTTCTGCTTAAATGAATTTGTGACTCTGTAAAAGCGACAGTCAACAATAGCCACTATTTTTTATGAAAAATTGCTGTTCTTCTTAACATAAATTACATTTTCAAATGTGACGTGTAGGAATAGTGTAGGAATGTTAATTTCTTTAAACTTAAGTCGCAGAGACACTCTGGGGCCCGGTTTGTAAATATCTTACGGCACTGCGGGAATAAAGATTCTACTAAAGTTAACGGCATTCACCTGAATGAAATATATGCAGCATATAGTTTATTGTATTGTACAGTTTATGCACTGTACAATATGTTTGTTCACGTAACGAAACGCGCCCCTACCGATCGGCCATGGATAACATCTAACCAGAACGGTATGTATGTACTAGATTCAATTATACTTTCGGACACATAGTTCGAGCCACCTCACGTTTTTGTCATAAAGGGCTAGAATACAAAAGTAGTGTTATCGTCGAAAACAATGTTTTCCTCCTGTTTCGCAAATTCAAATTTTCTACAAGGATTTATGGAAAAAAGGTCTAGTATACTACTTTCAAAATTGCTTAATGTTTTTGATCAATCAAACATTGTTCAAACTTAGGGCATTTGATACTAAATATACGTGGTGTCCGGGAGTGTATTTGCATCCATCTCTATTTCCTAGGGATTTCATCAATAAGTTTACTTTTTAATTTGGGAATTTGTGGTTTACGTCAATTCAATTAATCACTTCAGCACTTTCTACGGGTTTCCACGAGTGAAGTTTCGACGAAACCATGCATATTGTAATACTTTTGTATTACAATGACGGCGAAAATTATGTAATCACAACGTTATCATTTTCACTATAATCATATACGTTAAAACGTTTACGCTAATGTCATCGTGATCTTTAAAAATATTGATTAGATTTCGCACACAATGATGAGTCATTAGTTTTTTTCTGGTACGTAGTCAACACTACCTGTCCACAGCTAAAGATATCTTATAACGTAATTTTAAAGGGAATTACTTCTTCTACTAATTACGTGTACAACTCCAAAACTGCCTGTCGCCATAAAATACCTTCACCCGATGACAGAAAGACATAATATTATTAATAGTATTTAAATTGCTCTTTGTCACTGAAGGCAGGAATTAGAGCTATCGGTACAATATGCTTGCCAAAAAAATATACTATCAAATCAAGTAAAATCAAATACGAGGAAACCGGCTACAAACTACTAGTCATTAATGCTGATATCTCCAACTATGAAGTTGTAAAAATAATATATAAAATAACATAAGAGGATTACATCAATTCCGCGCCAGGTGCTCTATAGGTCTTTGGCAGTTAATGGCAGTCAACGTCGGCTTTTCTGTCTGCCTTACTGGTCTCGCTGCTCCAAACAACTTTGCGAGTAAGGAAAACAATATATCCAGCGTAATTGCACTTGGAGTAAATAGTAATGTAGGCTTTGCCTATAAAGCCGCAAAGCCTGTATTTGATCACTTTACGTGACGTGTTGCTCCCGAATTGGATCCAAAAGGCGTTGTTTTAATGTTACGTACCAGTGAAGATAAATAACGTATCATAACAATAAAATAAAGTACTAATAAAAAAGGCAACGGTGTGACAGAAACCATTTTAGGTTATAACACACAGGTGATTTGTTACACACATTTTGTTCCCTTTTCATCGCTGCGTTTAATTAACAAATTACAGCGGTGCCAATGTACGGGTATGTCATAGAAGCCACAAAAAACTTGACAAGTATTTTAAGGTTTATTTAAATTGAATTTTCAGTTACTATAGAAACAGTTTTAACTTATTAAGTAGATATTGATTTACAAACTGAATTGACAGTTACCTGACGTAGAGTAGGGTCAACCCTTTTTTTTTTGACCCTAAAAAAAATCATTCATCAACAAATCATATGTCACGCTGATCTAATATGGATTGGGTTTTTCACACGCTTTGCAAGGGCTGTAAACCTTCATCAGCACGAAGGTTTCGTCACGATACTTTCTAATTGCTAGTTATTATAAAAATATGTCCTTTTACCTTATAGTTCCTAAGTTTATGTTTAAAAACAGAAATTAAAAATATTGACCTTGGCTCAAACGCTTCACGAGGAGCCAAAAAACTTTTAAGAAGTTACTACTAAATTACGCGCGGAATTACACAACCACAGGTGGCAAAGTTCAACACGAATACCTGCTTGCAACTACTAAGCAAATTATTTTATATACAGTGTGTTATTTTCTAGTATTTACATACCATTTTTCTTTTAGGCGTAGTTTATATGTCATTTAAATTATGAAAGAACTATGTACAGATGCACTTATGCTTTTTAATTGTCTAGCCTATAACAATGAACAGAAACATCGACAGTACGAACTGAAGGGTTAGAACATGGTGCAGGTTTCAGAAACGCCCCCTAAGGAACGCCACACTGTTTCTAACTCACTTTAGTGATTGGCTTTAGTCATACAATATACGTATTATATACTTGAAATGCGTATAGTAATACAATAGTGATAATTAATATCTCCTGGCGCAGTGTATTCAACGAGTTAATATTAGGCAATGAACACTAATGTAAGTACATGTTTTCGTGTATACAAGTTTCCACTGGCTGAAAGCTAGAGAGTAATTCCTTGGTACTATTTCTCGAATCCATATCGTTTGTCTAATTACGTTGTTACTGTTATAACCGGTATGATTGTAAGTAGTATAGTGTTCATGCTAACAAGCGTTACAGTCCCGACGATTAACTTCCGGTCTAGTGATTCCGGTTTTGTTGATCATTTTAGGTTTAACTGGAGATATACTTCGTTCAATCTTTGCCTCTTATAGTGTCAACTTCAGGCGTTTTATTACTATTCTTAGGTTGAATTATCTTACAAATTTCATCACCTATCGCTTTTTGAAGTCGTATAGCAATAATAGCAAATCTTCTGTAGGTTATATCATCTGTATATTTTTAACTCTGCAGTTAAATGTTTTAGCGATTCTTTGAGAGAGATCGCGATATCTATTTTACCAATGTTGAATGTTTAATGGCTTTAATGAAAATGTAGTTAGTCAACGGATTAATTAATTTAGAACTTGTCAAAGCTGTTTTGGGTCTTTTTATTATCATTTATTTGTTTTATTGTGTGATGATTGTTGGTTTCCAACACCTACCAATTTGATTGCGTAGCTTCTAACTGTGTTATATTCATTCATCATCATCATTGCTACCAACAGCCTTACTTCAACCACTGCTGGATATAGACCTGCCGTAGTTTATAGTAATCTACGGTCCGCGCCTTTGACGATGTCGTTTACCTGTCTCACTGTAGGACGTCTCATGTTGCTCTAAACACTTCGTGGTCACCACTCGTTTGTTGCTTTACTCCACTTACATCCCATCCTCACCATTCATTATGGAGATTATAGTTTTATCTCATACTATTTTTAATGTATCTACGTGATTTATTGGACTTACTTGTATTGTTTTCACAATTTTTCTGTTCCGTTAATTTATTATTGAAAGCAGTTTGATATTTGAAACATCATGTGATGAGAGCGTCATTTTTTTCTTAAATCTCGGTCTAGCACATGAATAACGAGTGTCCGCCAGTACGGTTCAGAGCGCCGCGCGGGGTACATACAAGTCTTGGATGCGGGACCTTGTTCGTTTCAAGGTCAATATTAACGTTCACTTTGAAACGAACATTCCTTTATGCAACAGCTCATCATTTAAATATCATTTCAGAACGTTTAAAATTAAAAGAAAAACGGCACATTACACGTAGATATATGCGCAGTGTTTATGAATTTGTTTTTATTTTTCCTATTGTACATTCGAAGTGAGTAATTTTAGTTGTAATAGGTGTGAACTCGCGGTTTTTGTTAATGTTTTGCTATACCTTTTTTGTGCTGTCGCAATTCTATGTACCATATGCATCCGTCCTATATAAGCAGCGAGATTAATCATTGATATTGACATCTGACAGAATAACATTGTTCTTGTGTTTTTGAAACGTTTGCCTAATATTAAATGTGCATATTTTTGTATAGAGATTGTTTAGTATGTTATTCAAAGAACAAATAAAGGCAGAGCAACTAGTTATTTCGATAATATTATTCATAACTTTCGCTATATTATTAAGTTAAAATTAAGTTTATAGAAGAAGTCAATTTCATGGTGATAATGAAATATTGGAATAAAACGTCATAATGAGTAACAGTACTACCCCTAAAAAGAATATATGAACCAAAAGTTGAAGATTTTTTTCGGCGATAGATATATCTAGAACCATTATTGCAACTAATTATGTTGTACATTACGGAAATTCGTTGAAAGGTTATAAATCTAGGAGATCCAAAACTATGAGCCAATAACTCCGTTGTGTCGGACATAGATAACATACTTAAAAGGACAAGTCATTAAGTCGAGTAAGATTCGCGTGGAAAGGGCAAAAACTTAATTTTACTTTGTTGATGTATATTTTCTTATATTTGTTATTCATGTCCCTTCAATCGTTTGTGTTATTTTAGTTTTAAAATAATCTTTTGCCTTTCATTATCAAATAATCGATACGCTATAAGATAATATTCATTCCACATCAAGGTCATGTAATTATGATGACGGCATAGATAAGATTTTCGATACTATTTATATGGACTCGGTTTATTTTTGGCAGCATTTTAGTACAGTCTGTAAACGCGTTCGGTTGAGCAATGAGTTTCAAAGATAAAGTTGTTATTGTCACTGGAGCGAGTTCAGGAATAGGCGCTGCAACTGCAATAAAGTTCATTGAAGAAGGAGCCAAAGTTATCATAGTCGGTCGTAACGAAAAGAAACTTAAAAATGTCTCACTTCAATGTGAAAAAGCCGGAAGGAAGCCTTTAGTTGTCATTGCCGAACTCGCCATCGATGACGATGTGAAAAGAATAATGACCGATACTTTGAAGGTTTATGGCAAGTTAGATATACTTGTAAATAATGCTGGAATGCCTGTCCAGTCTAGTATACTGGCTCCTGACACTATAAAAGCCTTTGACAAAATCAACGCCGTCAATCTTCGCTCCATTATCCTTCTTACAAATCTGGCTGCTCCACATATCGTCGAGACTAAAGGAAATATCATTAACATATCGAGCGTTGGCTCTACTTCTGTGTCCACCCCACTCGGATTCGCCTACAATACTGTAAAAGCTGGTTTAGACCATTTCACTCGATGCATAGCTCTCGAGTTAGCTCCAAAAGGAGTTCGTGTCAATGTTATTAACCCTGGCATAGTGAGAACAGATATCATGAAACATTATGTTACTGATGAAAATTTGGAGAAACAAATGTATGAGTTGGCGGGCAAGAATGCTCCTCTTCAAAAGATAGCTGAATCTGAAGAGATAGCTGATCTTATTTTGTACCTAGCGAGCGATAAAGCTAAAAGCATTACTGGAGCCTGTCATGTTATAGATAATGGATTTTTGTTAAAATAAATGTTTTATTCTTTCAACTGTAATGTATTTTTTATTTTTATCTTGTTACTAAAACCAAACATTCAAGGTCCTTTTTGACATACGATAAATACCTGGAACCGAAGATGTTATGTACATATTTTTTCATATCAAGTGATGCACGAACAGTCGTGCGCCTGGTGGTAGCGACACGTCTATCCATGACAGTTGCAGTGCCAGACAGAGATTTAAATCGCAAAGACGAAAAGCGAGCAAGTCCTATATGCTTGTTTTGTTTTTTCTTTGTTATTATCGCCATTACCGGAATGCTAGAACGTACACATTATTGATTGGTGGCAGGAATAGATATGGTGCCAGTACTTCCCTGAACATACTCTTCCACAAAAAGCTTTATCGATATTTCTATCATTTAAAATAATGTGACCTTCAAGTAAAACAAAAAACAATGATGAAGTAATTGAACGAAATTCGCGCATATGTCCTATTCTGTTTTTGTCCCTCTCTTGTTTATTATACACATGTACATCCAACATCGTCAACTGTTTCAGATCTTGTCGGTACTATCTTTATGCAGACAATTTGCAGTTACAACTGTCGTTTTTTCCAAAAGACACCACTGAAGTCATCATCCAAATCAATGAGAATATAAAACGTTTTTCTGCATGGTCAGATAACACTGGTTTTAAACCCTACCAAGTACAAATCCGTGGTAATAGATTGACGGAAACAAATCCAGGATAGAGAACCGATTTTTCTCCAGACAACAGTTCTGGCCACTGTTATTGAGTTGGTGTCTGAGACAGTATACGTAATTAATTGTTAGTCTAGATGCAAGGTCATGTATAACGCTCCTAACTTCCTAAATTTGAGCTCGCGGTTACGTCTATATGAATTTTTTATACTCTTTAGACCTAATAATTTATTGCCTTTGGTCCGTGTGTATTGGCAAGGACACGAAAATTATTGCAGCTAGTGCGAAATGTATGCGCACGATTCTGTTTCTTCATACCACCTTAACAAGCTGAACAAACAAGTCTATTCAGTGTTGTTCGGGTTCATATGTTATATATTATTTGTACGAGGAAGTCGCTTGGTTATCTATTCTAAGCTCTCGTTTTAGAACAAGATCAATACGGATGTTTCTCCTTGTAACTCCACACCATAATACCGCAGCATCTTTTAGACGTGCATAACATTTTAATGTAGGATTTTCTGTGTGACGAAATTTAACGTCACATTATACGTAGGTATGTTTTAGAAATACATGTATATGTAACAAAATTGTTTACTCGTGATTGGTCATGCTATATATCAGAGGTCCCAGGTTCGATTCCCGGGAGAAATATTTGTATGGCCTACATTTATTTCTCTCGTGATTTTGGGTGTAATTTGTGGTTGTCTATGTGTGTGTCCATGGTACCCACGACACAGGGTTTACCTGGTGCGGGGCTATGTTGAGTGTGTGCGTTATTATTATTATTATGTATATGCTTAGGATTACATTTTCTAGACTAGAACTAGCAATCATGTGTTTAACTTTTGTTAAGGAGTGAATGTAAACTGTTTTATACATCTAATAAATAAATAATGCAAGTTATTTTACATCATCATCATCGTCATCATCATCATCAACTCATTTATACGCCCCACTGTTGGCCACGGGTATCCCCTCAGGCGAGGCTTTATGCAATAGCCCGCCATGCCTCAATGCGACTTCATACGTTTTTCCGAAGGTTGTGAACCTTCTTCGACGGTAAAGCTCAAGGCAAATTTCAAATTAAATTCTGTAAAACTCAGAGGTGCGTGGTGATGCTATTTATCTACATTCTACATAGTTTCAATGAAAATATATTGTTTCGTCATAGAATATGCTTATAAACTGTACATTCACACCTACACATCCCCTTGGTATCATAGTAATTTCTCCTCAAATTCCTTCTTGAAATATGAGTATAACTAGGCATGTAAGTAGACTATCTGAGGACGGTTCTGGCAGAATACCAGCGTCGTTGGCAACCGCAACATTTTTGCTGAGCTAGTGCCTTTTCACTGCTATGACTTTCAAAACGACCTAATTTAATTATGGATTTTATTCTTGTAATATTACTTTTATTTGGTTATATTACATAAGCTGAAAAAAGATTTTTTGTCTATCTAATCTGGTCACGCGTATACTTGTTCTTAAAAATTATAAATGTAATGATTCTACAGAGTTATATTAATTACATTTGCGAATTCCTATACGCATCTTCCGACTCTGTCATTGTGTTTGTCTATGTGTGTGTCCATGGCACCCGCGATACAGGGTTACCCTAGTTATGTTGGGTGTGTGCGTTATTATTATTATATCTATTTTAGACTCTCGCCTCTCCCAAGGCCTAAAAGATTATGTTGCATTTTTAAATGGAGAGGTGGTATTTCCCGGCAATATGGCACCGTCGGCCGGGGTCGGGGACTCAGGTCTAAGAACCGGCGAACAATACGTGCCGTATCGAACAGGACCGCCTTCTGCATTTGTGCTGGAAGCGACACGCCACAGAAATCCAACCGCCTCAAGCTGTTAGAAAGGCTGACTGGAATTAACCCATTTGCGGACAAAACAATTGGGATTATTTCAGTGGAGGCCACATCCCACATGTCCATGATCACATGCGCCAGGTCGAGATACTTACGGCGTTTCTCGGTTTCGGCTTTCACGAGACCCTCGTAATGCGGGATGGTAACGTCCACAAGAAATACCCTCGACTGCGATCGATCCAATATCACAATATCAGGCTTATTCGCAAAAATAGTCCTGTCCGTGATAATGGATCGATCCCAATAGATTTTGGTGCGGTCATCTTCGAGTACTGGCTCCGGTGAATACTTGTAATATGGCAACCTCTGTTGCACGAGTCCGTACTTTAGAGCGAGATCTTGGTGTAACATTTTGACTGCCTGGTTGCGTCTGTGCAAGTATTCAGTGAGCGGAACAACTAGAAACAATATGCCTAAGTGTCTCTCCGGGACGATCACATGCCCGACAAATGTCTACTGTACCGTCCTTTAGGATATTTTTCCGATAGTTCTGCGTCTTGATAACCTGATCCTCTATTGCACAGACAAAACCTTCGGTTTCCCCAAAGAGGTCCCCGAAACGCAGCTAATGTACGGAGGCTTTACGGTCCAGAAAAGACTCGTGGAGTACCTTGAAGAACCTCGCGTGGAGCTCCTCACACCGATGGCCTGTGACATACCCAGACACCGGTATGTTTCAGTCTCGGAGAGTACCTGCAGGTGATTGATGCCAACATAATGCCATCGGAATGCATGACACGTCCCCTCTCAACATGGACCACCGCACACTTATCGATTCCAAGCTCCATCCTTTTTTTTTGACGGGGGCGAAATCTTTATGGATACCCCTGAGCCCAGGGAGACTCAGGGGTTATGTGGGGACTCTCCCTCCAGACTGGAGGGCATACCCCACTAAAACTCCCCCGGGTTTCCCTCTCGCCGGTTGAGTCGGCGCCGTGGGATCGGTGAACATTCACCAAGCCCGGCCGCCCTAGCTTGCGCCAGGGCTCCCGCGCCAACAAAAAAAATGGTGCGCGTCCGTCGCGTCCTCGCGCACCCGCTACTTGGCCTCCTTTTGCGACATAACCTCTGCGTAAAAGGAGGCCACCGCCTCCCAGGACTCCTCGCTACCGAGCATGGCGGCAACCACGCTCGGCAGCGGGAGGTCCTGCCCTACAGTCCCCGTCAGAGTGCGGCGCTGCCTACTGAAATCGTTGGTGATTGTCAGTAGCTCCGTCAATCTGTCAGCTGTGGGGCCGTATAGCTTGAGATCATCCAGGTGCAGCAGGTGAGGCATTCGCGGCCCACCTCTCCGAAACTGAAAGCCTGTCTCCGATCTATCTAATAGAGTACGCAGAGGGTTCAGGGCCAGGCAAAACCACAGTGGACTCAGACAATCGCCCTGGAAAATACCTTGCCTTATTTCTATTCTGTCATCCACATCCGTCATCTGCCGACCGTCCAGACTCAGGATCATTCTCCAACGCCCCATGCATTGCCTGAGGATGTGTCGAACTGTACTATCAATTTTATACTGTTCGAGGACCCTCGAGAGCCATGAGCGGGGCACCGAGTCGAACGCTTTCCTGTAGTCTATTCGGCAGCGGAGAAATTCCGACGGTTGCGTCTGACAAGTTGGCCAAAGACCGCGTCGACGAGGGGCAGCTCCTTACTACCGCGGCTACCGCCCCTACATCCGTTTTGAGCTCCAGACATCACACTGTTATCAACAATGTGGTGACTTATCTTCGAGCTCAATACGGATGTTAAAGTCCTGTATATTGTACATAGACAAGTTATAGGGCGATATTGTAATGGATCAGCGGTAGCATCGCTCTTTGGAGCTAAATGGGTGACCCCAGTAGTCAAGAAGTTTGGGAGCGTCCCACTCTCAAGGGCACTTTGAAACTGACGAGCGAGAGTAGCGTGGCAGCACAAGAACCACTAATGATGCAGTCCGTCCGGTCCCGTACTTTTCCACTTCGAAGCCTTACGGACTGCTACCGCTGCATCCTCTTCGGATATGCTGATGGGGTTCATAGGCGCAATGGTTGCACACGCTCCCTTGACCGCTTTGTCCGGATGCTCACTCATCAAGACCACATCAGGATGCTCCAGTGTCCTGTAAAACTTTTTTGGTCACTCATGAAGAGACGATTCTGCCTCTTGACCCTTTCGGAATATTGCCGAATCCGCTTGCCCCAAGCAGCTATCTTTTGCTTCAGATCATCGATGCGCCCTGTTAGTTTTCGCGCAAACTTCGGTGAGTCTACAAAAAGTTCTCACCGGGGAATGCTTCTCGGACAAAGCGCACCACTCTCGGCCTAGTGACGCCTGATCGGAAGCTGGTCAGTTTGCCGAGGAGGTCCCTGGCTCATGCTATATGACCCTCACTTCGCTTCATCCAGATTGGCTTAGCACTAGTCCTAGTTATTATTATTATAAGATCGGTTCTATGGCATCATAACTATTGCTTTATCATAAGGGGTCATAATGGGTATTAAATTTGAGTTCAACGAGTATAAACTTGAGATTTGTTATATATATACACACAAACACACAAACCGAATCGACACATTACAAATAACTAGTAAGAATGACTTGCATGATTTACTCGTGTTACGTGTATGATATTTACGAAGATAATAATCCACAAAAACAAAATGTACTCACGTATACATTATATAACCATTCATTTTACTTTTTGCCAGTATTCTAGTGCGACCCGTGGACGTGTTCGATTCGCAATGAGTTTTAAAAGTAAAGTTGTTCTTGTCACTGGAGGTAGTTCAGGAATTGGTGCTGCAGCTGCAATCAAGTTTGCTGAAGAAGGAGCCAAAGTTTCTATGGTCGGTCGGAATGAAAAGAAACTTCAAAACGTTTCAGACAAATGCAAGAAAGCCGGCAGCATCCCTCTAGTCATCAATGCTGATGTCACCAAAGATGAAGATGTAAAAAGAATTATAAGCGATACGATAAAACATTATGGCAGATTGGATATACTTGTGAATAATGCTGGAACTTGTATTCCATCCAGCATATTGGCACCAAACGCTGTGCAAACCTTCGACAGTCTAATGGCACTAAATCTTCGCTCTGCTATCTACCTTACGAATCTCGCAGCTCCATATATAGTCGAGAGCAAAGGTAATATTATCAATATATCCAGCGTCGCTGCACTACGTCCATTTGAAGATGAAGTTGGCTTTGCCTATTGCACATCAAAAGCTGGTTTAGACCATTTTACCCGATGTGTGGCTCTCGAACTAGCTCCGAAAGGTGTCCGAGTCAATTCCATTAATCCTGGTCCGGTGAGGACAGACATCGCCAAACGTTATTTTACCGATGAAAGTAAGGAACAAGAAATGTGGGAGTCGGCGAAAAAGATGACTCCCCTTAATAGGATCTCAGAACCTGAAGAGATAGGTGATCTTATTCTGTACCTGGCGAGTGAAAAAGCTAGAAGTATTACTGGAGCTGTTTATGCTATAGATAATGGATATTTGATGAAGTGAATATTTTCCTTATCATATTAAAAAAAATGCATTTTTAGTTTTAATTTAATTTTATCGCTATTTAACCCAATGTATAAGTATTTTAAAATTATTGTTAATATTTCAAGTTGCCGATAGTTGAGTTTTTTTTAAATCAAACTCAAACTATCGATTATGATTAACCTGACATTTGCTTAACATTACCAAAGCAGATCGGAGAAGATCTGTGTTTCAGCGACCTATATTGCGTTATTTCGACTAAGCGACGTGGAAATGCCAAAATAACGAACTACACTGGGTAATTAAACCAGCATATCATTATGATAAATAACACTATCTTATCAACTTATTACTACACGAAACGTTCCAAACAGGTTTTAATAATAAACAATTCGTATATTTCTGTTTATTTATTTATATTTAAGACGACATAATTAAGTCCACAATTGTGTTGGTAACTGTTAACTTACATTAGCACCTAATAACTAACAATTACTTCGTTCTTTGTGTGAGTTTCCACATTGAAGCACAATCAAATTTGTTAAATATCACTTCAAGCATAGATTCACTAATGATATTTGTAGCAAAAATAAGGATTTTTATACGGGAAATATCGGCAATACAAAATTGACTTAAGCATTACATTCTTATGTCGCCGAAACCAAAAGTATTAAACTATGTATTTGAAATATATTTATATAAGGTATAGTACAATGGAACGTGATATTATATAGCGACAAAGATTTAACAAAAAGAGACACGTGTAACGGCGGACTAAAGAACTCCTCGGGGCTAAGTTTTGTACGTAAATGTGGTTAGAAAATTGGCATGAGATGGAAAAAGTTTATCAATAAAGGATCAATTTCGATAATTAAAAAGAACAGACGTCTCTTACTCTAAATAAATAAAATTAAATAAAATAGTTCGAGATAAAATTGATGACAAAAACATGAAATTACCTGTTTGCAAGTAATATAAATATTGTTCTATTAAAAGTGACAACATTTTGATGTTTTAATCATAAAGTTTCAAGAATTTGTCATTAGGTTTTGTTAAAAGAAACATATTTTAATAATATAGAATAAATTTATCTCCAATAGATACCTTTGAATTTTTCGTATAAAAATCTCTAACCGACCCAAACTCTCTTAGAAACTTAATGCGTTTAGAAATTTGGTGAACTAATTGCCTGTGAAGGAGAATCTAACTAACAAACATAATTTTTTGTCCGCAGATTATATGGACTCGCTATGCAAGGACCATTTTCTACAGCGACAATATCGAAAAGTGGATGGAGGAGTACTATGGTCTCGAAACGAGAGAAATCTGGACTGTACAGTCACATTCCAGACGCACAGTATCCTGCAGCGGTTCATGCTGCACTTCGATCTGCTCCAGTTGGACTGCAACGACCATCTGTACGTTTATGATGGTGCTCATGCGACTGCGCCGCCAAAGGTGAGTTTTCATTTATGAAAAAATTACTGAAGACCATGACCGAAAGCAACGTAAAAATTTACATTAAAACGTCATCATCACTAAAAGGCTGGGATCAGTAAGAAAATTTATCTGTCTAAATAGAGAATTGCTTTACGTTTTATGAAATATCATCTTTTTTTTATTGTAACATCATTAATCTTAAACAAACCGCAAAGACTTCAAATAACAAGGAAGTCCTCCAAATAAATTAATATCAATGGAAAATTAATTCCCATATTTTTGCATATAAACGAGCACGTAATAGGAATATCCATTCTCATTTGGCCACATTCCAGGGCGTCCATGGCAGTAATTATCTCGGCAATTTTGTCGTACGTACCTTCCATTTATTTCCGATCGCCGAGGCAGCGTCTGATCGTCGTTAATTTATTAAGATGCCTTCGACGACGGTATGCTAATGAGACATCCAAGAGCGAAGGGACCTAAACAATGACTGAATGTTTCTGCTAAACTCAATCAGTCTCTGTTGTTGCTCTGTGACTTGAATACATACGGGATGAGAAGCACTTTGTATTTTGTATTGTAGCTGTAATGGGAATATGAATTTTGTAAATTTGATTGTCACTTAATTACAAAACAACGCACGCCCTGATAACTAAAGGTCCTTTTCAGCTTCATCGTGGTCGATAGTAACAGTGGCTTCGTTGGTTTTCGTCTTGATCGTCATGATGAAAATGAATTATTGTATAAATCTGGAGATTAGTAATTTTTTACTAACACTTTTGTATGGACCACCTTCAGAAGTCTGAAATAAAGTGATTTTATTTTTTTTAGTAATAGTAAGAATTCCAACTAAACAATTTTAATAAGACGCTGTGAACTTAATAGCGAGCGTCAGGTGTCACCTAAATAATTAACAACAAAATGAGAAAGTTCCTGAATTTTAAATGCAAATCACGAAGTTTCGGTCACCGGTCTTTTGAACAAAGGCAAGGAGCCTTTGGAAAGATCCACTTGTGTTGTAAGCGGGAATAAGTTTAACTCAATCGACTTCTTTTTTGTTTTGTTTAAAGCCAGTTGTTTAAAGTGTATAAACACGTAGTCTTTCAGAAATTTGCTCAAAAGCAAATTTCTGAAAGAGTACGTGTTTATAATATTGAAGATATTTTTTAAACAACAATTTTGCAAAGAAGTTTGGTCAATGAGTATTGTTACAGGCCAACTTGCAATTAGTTTTACAAGAAACTTAATACAAGCTGATTTGCGAAGAATAATTACGGCAACTTTGATTTCAAATCACATACAGGAATAAAATTAAGCTCGTTTAGAAAGAAACGCGTCGAATAAAGGCAAAATTATCTAATCGTACGGAATGTTTCTAAACAGTAAAACGGCACCTGCAGAGACAGGCACTAGGATAATAAATTATTTATTTGTCAGTCTTCTTAACGCATGAATCTAGACTGTAGTTAAAACCCTAAGCTGATCTCCAAGTTGACTAAGCAATCCAGGTCTCTGAAGTGTGCCAGAGTAATCTAGATACTCAACTTAACTTTAATTATTACCAACTTTAGACAGAAGGTACCGAAACTTGAGCCGATCACTCAAGCGATTTGAATTGGAAATGGAGCCCAGATGGATGGAACTTTTCTATTGAACATGACTGTGATCGATTAAAAGGTTTTTTGTGTAATCTAATTTATTTGTGGAGCTTTGCCATCCTTCCGGGCCACTGAACAAGGTCGGGGTAACTTTTGGTTGGGAAAAGAAAAACGGTCTCAAGATGCTTTTACTTTTATTAAAATGTTTCCGGTAACAATTGAATACAAAAAATGGATACACTTAAATAGACTTTAGTATTCCTTAATGTTCCGCATACCTGGCAAAAATTCTTTGGTGTCGTAGAATGCATAATGGCGGTGTCTTAAAATACACGCCATGAAAAGTCTATTCTGGAAATCTAAAAATAAATAATTGCAGTCAGCAAGAGAATTGTGTAAAAACATCCACATGAAGGCAGCCGATAAAACGGTAAAACTTTGAAGTATAACTCTCGAGTTGCCACAAACGTTCAGCAATAATGGCGATAAATCGCGAACTTTAATGGAAACTGGACAGACGCGTTTGAAAACAATGTCCTGCGATCCATTACCGGACAAAGGATAAAGTTTAGTCACCTAACCAACTACGAGGATACTTTAACTTGTCGGTTAGTTTCATTAACGTGTCCGCTTGTAGACTCTCTTGATGCCATAATCATGTTCGAATAAAGTTAGGTGTAAAGTTGCGCATTATGTCTGTGAAACTCTCTCTCTTAGTTCACGTCCTGATTCTCCAATTTCCATCACTATCGTTTATGTTTGTCTATAAACGATAGTGATGGAACAAGCGTATTTATAAAAAAAACCTCCGAATTGTATGTTTCAACATATTTATGTTACAGTTAAAGAATAATTAATATCACGCATGACTTTGTATATTTATAGGACAATCAATAATGGAAACGACCTATTTGATGCAGAAGTTTTGTTTCTGTGTCATCGAATATTGTCCAAATATAATATGTTGGCTGGGTCTGGCCTCTTTTGTCAAATTCTAAAATACGAAAATATCTAGGTATCTATTAATTAAAAGGGTCATCAAAGTAAGTCAATAATTTCCAAATAATTCTGCCATATTTGAAGATACCAGGGTTGAAGGTTAAAATTACCAATCTGGACAATGCCAGTTTTGAAATTTCATAGTTCTTCAAAAAACTGAATTTTCTACAACATGCGAGTTTCGTCACGTTGTTTTCCTTCAATTAGAAATCTTGACAAACTATCACAAACCTAATACTTACACAGTATATTAAACTACATCAAAATACAATCCAAAACACGAATAGCACTTGAACCATCCAACACTATGAACTTGTGTACTTCTGCTAAACTTATGTACAAACAGGGCTAAACTTGTCGAGTACAGTCCAACAAAGTTATCTATGCAGAGTATAAATTCTGGCTAAATATTGTCATCACAGAAATGCACGAAAACACTTCCGTAACCAACTGCAAAACATAAGTTGGTCAAATCTCTAGGTACAAAGCGTCGTAAATTACCAGCCGTCTGTCATAAGTTTTATCTCCAAGTTGGTGAAACAATAAATAACAAATGGATTGTTGTACTAAGTACCGCTTTTGTTTTACTTGTTTACCGTTACATTTGTCTGTTATGTCTATTTGTTTTGGATAAATGACTAACAGATTGACCACTTACCATTACATCACAAACTTTGTTTAAATATTCGAAGGTTTGGTCTTTTCATAACTTCTTTAAATCGTGCACTGACGGACTTCTGAATTTAGATGTCCACCGCTCTATATGAATCCTAAAATGTTGCCTTTTAATTTTCAAGGAACCTACCTAGTGCATACGTAACATTTTAGGATTCAGATGGAGCGATGGACGTCTAAGTTTAAGTAAGACTACCAAGTCTCAGGGCAACAGGCGCAATAGCAGTGCCCCTCGGATCTTTGCTACTTTAAACCCTTAGTGGCACTGCAACTGCCGTGGACAGGCGTATCGCTTACCACCATGCGCACGACTTGTTCTTCACTTAGTATCATAAAAAATATGGTATCAACAGTTCTATATATATTTGGCATAAACATGTCAGGTTTCATATTTAATTAATAGTCACAGTACGGCAGCAGAAATAGGTGTGGTGGCAGAGTACTTCCCTGGACAATCTCTTGCGCAAGGAGCTCTACTGCTACTAAGTACATTATGTAAACTTTCTATCATATTTCTGCATCGAGTAAATAATTCTTGTCTTCAACATGTTGAGCACGTCACTACCTCTCTGAGACCAATGTTTAGCGATGCTATCGTTGGTACCAAATAGGCCCTTCATTTGATTATCCGTGCCTGTAACCATACCTATTGCAGTATCTCAATTGCAAACTTATGGATTACCATAACGATGGGGCATCGGAGGACGAACATTTTTTATTTGCGATGAAAAATTGTTTATGGTAATTGAGATCCCACCCTACCTGTAGCCTCCAGAGAGAATTCCACCTCTGATTAATTCATACATTTATAAATTCACAACCGACATTCACTCACGTTCGACCCACAAAAGATGTAAGCTGATTATACTACATCCTGCTGAAGCAATTACCTGTATGTTCTATCATGGGTTTTTTGACGGCGCCACGACAAAAAAGTTGTTAAAAACCAAAATAAAGATGGTTCGATCTGTGGTTTAGTTGGCATAGCGTCTGGGGGTCTACTCTCGAACTACGAAATCCGTAATGACGGCCGTTTTCACGGACGTTTCCCACTATGGATGACCTACGAACTTCCGTTTCGATCGAAGAATGAATGACAACACGATTTGACAGTTGAACGTTACTCTCGACGCGTTTTCGTCCGTCCTAAAAGTTGAGTTTGACGTTTGTTTCGACGGTTCTTTATGTCAGTTTAAACGACAACAAATTAGCTTGTGGATTGCTTTGTGGACCGTTTAATTGTGATAATTGTGTTATTATGGCGGCGTTTATAATGGTAGAAGATGAAGAAATACCGATCTTTGTATTAATAAGTAATTATAATATTTATTATTATAATAACTAGTGGAGTCATTTCACAAAAAAATAATTAAATATCATAGTGGCGAAACATCCTCACATTCCATTAACTTAATTATAGTAAAATAACTTAAATAACACCATCTGTAGTTACATCTACGACATTAGTTACATTTTATTGCAGCCGTTGTGTCACATATCGACTGTCCCTACGTATACAATCGAAACTTTAAAAAATACACTTTTTTTATTAGCGTAATCTGCATTTCATAGTATTATCTTTCGATTGGGAAAACAATAAAACATAAAATTTTATTAGTTTTTATAATTGTCATAGTGCTCAATCAATACCTGACAATATTTTGCCTCTAGTTGCAGATTCTCCACAAGTGTTGACGAAATCATCTTACGATAGTTATAAGAACTCTCCGAATGGCTGATATT